CCCCCCCCCCCCCCCTGTGTGTGTGTGTGTGTATGCCTGGGGAAAGTCATGGCCCTCGACGAATGTAGGATAGTTCTCTGTAATTTTACTTTGGGAACTACTTGCTCTACTGTATATGTAATCGCACAGTTACATAGAGTGTGCATGGCAAGTCATCTCGAAAGCCCGAAATGAACGCTCGATTCCCCTCCTTTTGTAGAGCACTCGGGCGCAGTGGTATGGGATAGCAAAATTTACAATGGGGGACGGGTAGGGCAATAGTTAATAAACTCTGAGGGATGGGATTGAGAACACCATCAAACAGGTCAAAAGCGTTAACATATGTGCCGTAAAAACGGACTCCTGGGGATCTGCATTTTGAATGCACAATAAAACCGAATTTTTTAGATTAATGGCAACCAACCTTCACGTCAAAAAAGTGGCAACTGGACTTTTTACTGCTATTGGCCAAATTTCTCCCTAAAATAGCTAATAGTATCCTCAGCTCCTCTTTCGATTTGTTATACATTCCACAGCATTCCTCTCAACTTCTCATGTGGAAAACCTGATGCAAAGAAGCTTATGACAAATGAATCACACTAAACGGATCCTCCTTTCAACACACTGCTTTTGGACTTTTTTGGATGTAACGCTGCCAGATGATCTCCGGTGACGCCATCACAATTCATAACTTTCTCTGAGTATATTCGACGCATGCGTACATCGAGTCCATCTCACAAATGTCATTGTACCAACTCCTTCCTACCTCAGCACCGTTCAGAGGGCAGCCTTGCATACACCCTCTAAAGGAGGCCTTTGGCCTCTTTACAAGGTGGATGACACTTTTGTTGAACCTGATCGAGAGTGGGCACATACGTGCAGTGAGAACCAACAATACTGATATTCAATGGATCCCATCTCTATTAAACATTATTACTCCGTCTTTTGAACACAAAGCGACCAGTCACAGTGTAGTAATGTTGTGATTAAACACCATCTATCAAGACCCAACACTTCTAGAACGAATTCCGCCGTTTCCACTATCGTGACCGAAGAATACTCACCGTTAAGAAGTTTTTGCCTACTACCCTGCCCATCTTTTTCAGCCTGACATCCTGCATTCGGAGCATAGCTAAGTTGTGCGTTGAAGGTTACCATTTTAAGGGTGGCAGGAAGTCGATCGCATTAGAATGAGCGACAGCTTAAGTTTGAAGACCATCTTTTCTTGCCCTTCCGTCCTTACTCTTGACCAAGAAGGTCTACACGTCCGCATTCCGGGCTTACGCACGAGTGGATTTAACGGTCATACGGATGTGCCCCGTTGTCTCTCATTCCCATTTGTAAACTTTATTGTGGCCGCGTATTTGGAAGTAACCATAACACAGGTATTACTCCACCCTGAACCACGGAAGCAGTTATTTTAAATCGTCAAACCTCATCCAGAACCACTCCCAATGCAGCGCAACAGTAATGGATGCGGCTAACCCATTCGCTCGCAGCGCCATACCGAGGCGATTAGACCTCCTCTGAGACGAGCATCGACCATGAAAAGCCATACGCCGAATCCGAACCCTTAAAATATGAACGGCAGTACAACCTCTACTGGCAAAGTTGTTCAGTTAGTGCAAAATATTTCTGCTAAATTGGAATGTATCCTGTGAGCGACAAGAATTGATTTGGCTAAGCTATTTGGGAATAACCACCGAAGAAAAATTCAGGTGAAGAATATTCCAAGCAGGTCCTACATGCAGGAAGAAGAGTCGAACCCGAACACTTCCGGAGTACTGGTAGGACTCCTCTTGCTCTCTTGTCTAGTCTACCTCTCATTGGCCGTCCACCATCATCACTGCCGCCATCGAAAAAGGAAATTCCGGTACCCTTCCGCAGGTCCAAATGATGCCCACTTCCTGAATAAGGAAATGCACGCACGCACAGAACAGACCTTTCTTTGGCCTCCTACTTCTTAACTCGCGCACTGACTTCTGCATACAAATCTTTGCCTACATAGACTTTTGAACGCAATCCACAATTCGACTCAAGTAGTAGACGCAAAAGCATAGACAGCAAATTGCATCAAGACTTCCCTCTGGACGATCCATCTTATACACTATCGAGCAACAGATCGAAGACTGTATACTGAAGTAATCTGCTCACTTCGCCGCCACGCGGTTTAGGAAACTAAGCTAAGCCCTTCCCAACAGACCGCTAATGTCCACACTTTCAACCCGAATCATGAACTTTTACAGATCACACTACCATAAGGATTTGTCATCGAGGTCTATAAACAACGTGCAGCACTGCATCCTCCTCTCCCAATACTTGTTGTTCTGTTTATGGAATTCAACTGAGACGAAACTTTGCAACGGAATTACCACCGATAAAACCACTGGAAGTAGCCTAGTACAAATTGTTAAATCAAACACAAAACAACGTATCGAAGACGACAGAAAGCACAGGGATCACTCGGCACAAACATACTACACAACCACTGGGAACAGCGCCGAACCCGAGACGCCTTCGATCCTTCAGAATCACGCAAAACGACTCCCCCTTAAGAAAATGCTTTCCCATAGTGAATTTGCTCAAGACTTACGTAAATCAAGAGTGTGAAAGATAGACACCACTCTTTCTATGTCAATATGTCACCTCAAAGCCCCTTGCCAATGCATACAAAGCGATAAAGGTGCGTGCTTACCAAAAATGACATTACTGTGATTTAAAAGCCCCAATTATAGGTAAGGCCCAGACTTTAATCGACGTGTAGAGAATACCGCGCTCCCGCCATGAGTATCAAGTCCCAATGTACAAAAAATAAACGAAAAAATGGAAATTTGCGAGGAAATTTTTACACAGGGGTAGCAAGGTATCTGGTCTAGGCAACTGCTGACTGGAGCACAGGCATCGTCACCGTCAAAATCTGTAAAGGCAAAATAATGAGAGCTTCATAAACTGCCTTAAAAGAATGTAATTAGTACGCTTAAGAATAGGAAGAATCTACAATCTCAATACCATTGTGATAAATGCATCATATGCTGCAATGGCTATTTAGGTGATGAAGGTCAAGTGCTTCCATGACAAGAGATTAAGCAGCCTTCATCCACTTAAATAAGGAAATAAACAGGTGTGGTTATACGATTGTTAAACCAGCGCCGGATAGTTTAGCAAGCGCTCAATTTGCATATACCCTATGCAATGAAATGTTCGTCACAATTACATGTTCGATATTTTGAAAGGACGTGCCAACGAGCGTAAAACGTACGTGACTCAAGTAACACGTGGCAAATCAGTTCGAAATTAACAGGGTTTAAATGCTAGATGATGGACAGCCCCGAAACATTTCAGAATCACAAGATCCAGACCGAATTCAAGAGGTCACCAAACATCCATTTTCTGAATCCGATTATTAATGGAGGAGAAAGTTCAATCGAAAGAACACAGCCGTACATGAGGAAGTTGAAATAGAGGTGCCAATGGAATTGACGGCGGTGAATAAAAGCATACAAACTTTTACGACAGGGATAACAGTCATGAGTCAGTGCGCATCCACTTCAGTGTAAAATAACTGAGAGTGAATTGCAGCATTGACATGCCAATTTTCGTCCCCTTTCCCTTCATTGCTGTGACGGGAACAGGAGGAAGCTGACGCACCTATGGGGAGAAGGAAAAATAAGACAAACGGGAACACACGTCTGCAAAAGCTACTATACACAACCTGTCGCTAATAGCAACGCCAGACACAGGAAAAGGCCACGATCTTTGGATCAGCCAGCGTTTGATAGAGCAATGCGATGCCAACGGGATCGGGGCGTAAAGGCAATTCAAAAATTCGTAACCAAAATAACCAGTCTTACAAAAAGTTTGAAGACAACACAGTCCCCATTTTAAGGATTTACGCTTCCATAAGCTTACCTCCATGACTTTCCTGAGCTACAAATACAGCCTGTAAACCCCGCGTAACAACGATTCAATTTAATTTCTTTAAAGAGTCCGATTTTAAACGTTTAATTACACTAAACATTTCAAGCCGCGGCAATTGAGATAACCATCGGATTATGAGAGAATAGTAGCGAAGCCGTTTTATCTGCTGTCAAACATGTGCAAAATGATTTATTGATTCGAGAAAACCAACGTCATGATTTACAACAGTGAAAGACAAAGCACGACAGAAAAGCGCTTCAATGAACGGGTAAAAACGCACACCATCACCAGTACCACCATCACGCAGTTGAAAAAATATAGGTGCACTCTCTCTAGCATGCCTGAATTGAGACGAATCGCCTACAGAGGTACGCAGTCTGTCGTCCGCCCCCCAGTGGACTCCATTAGGCAAGGCAGCGCAAGACAGCCGCGTGTACACACACAGCCGTTGGACGTAAACAACCAGCCATTTAATAAGAGCTTCTTTGAAGTGGATAGCAGCATCCCCATGCCCAACCAATTCAAACATTCTTGAGGAGCGAAAATAATCTACCATAATTGCGCTAGAAGCTCAGAATGCAAGAATGCGCAACACAAAACTACAAACCATTTACGGTTATTTTTCCACAGAATGCCAATGCCAAGCTTCTAGCGCGGAATAAATACCATGGGATCAGCCGAATTCAGAACGATCACAAAAAACCACTTAATGATCTATAAGTCTACAATCCAAAATTCCAAGTGCACAGCATTGTACAGAATAATGCGTTTTCTCGTTAGGACAATTGGTGTTGAGTAATCGTGATGGAGCATACTTTTTGAGGCGTTCCCCTTGAATTCTCACCAGAAAATACACGGTTAAGTTAACAAAGTGCAGTATCTACCAGCAGATAATCTATTGTCTGCACGAAAAATGATCAATGATGTAGGACAGACGAACTACTGAAATTAAATAAGCAGACGCACCTTTCTATTCAAATTGAATTCAGCTCGAGCACCGACCTGATCGACAGTATAATTGAGCTCGGCGGCCATCTCGTAGGTATGACTGCGAGTCCGCAAGACAAGAACGTTCGCTCCAATATCTAGTTTAATACCCCGCGAATTCAACTAAAAAGTTTCGATACCTGAGCGATAGTAACCACATCTATCCTTTCAGTCTCCACATCTCGACCGAAAGAGCAGCGAGTCAGATTCACGCTCAGCCTATACTCAATAGTGAACCCTAAACTCACTCTATATAGCTAACTAAATCATAACCGGGCACCGCGGTAGTTAATCGGACTTAGCTCACCCAGTTATCAAAAAAAAATAGACCTGCGGGCATACGACTACTAAGTTACAGTTGAAAAGTAGTTCCCCAATAAAAGCTAACAGAATCTTACCAGCTTAGGCAATTGAAATTCGGCAACGATAAATTCTGGATTATCCATGTTCGGCACGCCGAACATTTTAACATCTGGAACAGTTGGTTGTGGTCTAGGAGTAGCATTAAAACTTTACTAAGACATACTTCATCGGTTCCCTCATCTCACTACCAGTCAAAGGCGTACTAAAAATGAATGGAATTAGCCGCGGAAATACCTGCCTGCCGAATCCAGCTCAATTATGGCGGGGCGGAGCCTACTTCGGATAAACTGTTTTTGTAGCGTCCCCATACATTTCTTGTTCTTTAACACAACCCAATCTGTATAGTTTGATAGGTGGATCAGAACGCTTACCTCGGCATAACGACAACTGGAATTTCGACTCAAGAGACTCAATTACGGCGGTGACCAAGAAGCCCATAAAAACTTGAGAAGACTTGACCTTTTCCAAAAACTTTGGGTGTATGACCACATCATAGGCCGAACAAGGCTTGCCAGCTAGAGGTGTTAGAGTTAAACGAAGCTCAAACCATTATCAAGCTCACAATGGGCATCGCCAATGCTCAAAGGAACGCGATAGGGTGGTGCATCTTTGCTTTCAAGCATTGTTATAAGAGATTCCTCTGTAATCTCTTCTGGAATCGGAACCTTTCCGTAAACATGGGCACCTAACTCACCTTATCAGAGGTGCATAGATTAGCGAAGACTTTGCTACCGGACTCGCATTTCAGCTTGACGCATAAGCCTGGATCAGGAACTATATCAAATCTCTCTGATTGATTAGTGTCCTGCATTTCCTAAGGGTTCGAAGGCTAAACGCAACAAACCTCCTTTAGCAGTAGAGATAGTGACGCAGCCATCGTAACCGCAGCCTAGATGGCCTAAAATTGGCAGCCGATGCGTGATAAATGCAGTCGCTACACACGCAAGGGTATCCTAGAGGCTCTTAATAACCAGCTTGTTGCAGGAAGCCTCAGCATTTATGTTATAAACAATTAAATGATGCCATTTACCACCCTTGAAAAACGTATGAACAACAATTAGTATGCTAAATGAGGAGCGAAGCAGCATTTGTATTTCAAGACAATCAGAGTTATGAATTATTAAGGATTTTGCCACTGCTATATACAATACTAAGATCTTGGGAACCCCTAAAGTTACCTTCTGAGCGACGCAAGTACTTAAACCTAAGTAGAGGTAAGGATGAAACCAAAGTCAAGTGATTACCTACTCCGAAGTGACGATTTATTATACGGGTAGCCGAGACTTTTCACCAGGTGGAAGGGGGACATTAACTTGAACGAATTGCATGTAATCTGAAAGTACAAGGAGGGATTGGCCCTGACTTGTCCCGAAGACTAGTCCGCGCGCAGAAAGGCAAGACGATCACCAAAAATTACTGCCGGACATTAAATTCTCGCGCAAACAAGATATTTAAGGATAATTAGCATTACACCACACTCTAGTTATCCGTTTTGGTTGGTTAGTCTACATGAGGAGCTAGGCAGTGCTTATTCGCTTCTTTAGACGCGACTAGATTTTAAAGTCTAGAAAAGCCATTTCTACAACCTGTATGCTGTCTAACTTTAGTCTTATTGACATGATCTTATGATTTTCTTTGCAATGCCTTTGAGCGAAATTGAAGTTTTAGAGAACCAGTGTAAAATGCTGATAGAACTACCTGTCTTACCTGTTAATAATAAACGAGATTTGCAGTTATAAATTGTAACAAATACCAGATTGTCCAAGTGAAATTTTTATAGGGGAGAGGCGGGAACCAATTGGGAACGCGAATCACGTGAGCGAGGCCAGTGAGGAGCCTCCTATTCGATCCATCTCTATTCCAATCCCCATTCTTCTAGCATCTAATGCCAAACAAATCGTCTGCAACCAGCCCGCTCTTGAAGTCCGTGGTTCAAGGGCAGGAGGGTAGGCAGACAGCTCTTACATAGATTTTAAGATTATTGGGCCGGATGAGAGCCAATACGGACACCCAAGTCACCTAAACCGGAGTAGGGTAGTCAAATAAAAGGCATAATGTAGGACCTCCCAACCTACATTCAGGCACCTGAACCTCTGGCTTCATAAGAGGATCAGTTTGGGGTATTTATTAGGCATTCTGGCAGAAAGGACTAGAGTGTACGTATCGATATAACGACGGTTCAACGTTTCACTGCGGGTGGATCCTCGCGTTCCTTAGGCACAGGATTAGAGTTCGAATTAATTAACCGCATACCCCCATAGAGGCAACATAAACACATTAGTATAAATATCACACATGACACTAAACTCTTAGTTTCATGTCGCAAATTTTGATATTTGTGTTATGATGCTTTGTTTATGTGACTGCCTAATGTTTGGCTGTCACTTTAGGATTTATCAGGCCCTTGCATTCGTGGGCTGGCCCTCGGGCCGTGCTCAGGCCATTTGCCCATTTACCACTTTTCTACCCTATGGGAAGTCTAGAGACACTACATGTGTGGTACCAGAGTAAAAACAGAATTTAAATCCTTTTGAATATCAGTAGCTGACCATTCCCACCTACGTTTCAGCTTTCTATGGCTTCAAGGGACACTTAACTCTCAAGATTGCAACATAATAAGGTGGCAGACTACGCTTGCTGCGGCCTACATCTAAGCCCTAAACCTCAACCGAAGACTAGGTCAGCAGCTATTAAAGCGGAAAACACACACTCAATCTTATCGACAATCTGAGTTTTTTTATTGGCAATACTGCGTTCTGCTTACATTTCTTAACGTGTAGGTAAGACTCTGAAATTAATATGAAGTTAAACTCTGTAAAGACGTTGAAATTGGTAAGGTTTTTTTGCGAGACTTCTCATAGGGTGGAAGAAGGCAGTAAGCGAGGCTGAATGCATGTATTCCGAAGAGAGCAGAGCAAATGGACCTGAGCATGACCCGAAGGCCAGTCCAAACGTACAAGAGCTAGACAAATCCTAAAGTAACCACCAAACGTTAGGTAGTCAAATGACCAAATCAACATAACTACAAAAGCTTAATTACTTTCTGTCTGTCAGATATACGTATTCAATTCAAGAATTTTTCTTGGTTTAACTCCGGATAAATCTTTATATACGAAAGTAAGTGTGGCAACTTGATACTTTCAAAAATAAATAGTGGATTTAAAAAGACGTTTAGTAAGGAACAGAGGGATACGAATACAAAGAGAAAGTGTCAAAGCTGCAACCAATTTCCACAAAGAGCAAGATCTATATCCCATTTAACTTGTGAGCGTATAAGCTTCAATTGTGCAATAATAGTTTGTGTTGATTTTGATTTTTCATGTACTTTAAATGAGTGCCTGTGGTGTGAAATTTGGTTGTTTTATTTATCTAAATTGGTAAGACCCATTGCAGGTTCATTATTCGAAATACGGTAGAGACGGTAGTCCCGCGGGCTTTTGCCCAACCTTGTGTGAAAGTGCTTTGGTGAGCTTTTTACTGTAGGAACGTCCGTTCTGACTTGTTAAAAGTATATTCAGGCCTTTATTTTAGATTAATAACCTCTCCATATGCAACAATAAGTCGTGGTAGATAGTGCTGCGTTTTTCTTCAAAGTTTTAGCTTGCTCATCGAAATAATCTATAGTTTTAAGTTTTCAGGCGGCACCAAAATTAATATATCGAGGTTTTTGGACGTAGGGGAATTTTTTGCTCCTCTACTTGCTACTTTATTCGCTCTATTGACTTAGGCACTTCAATGTATTTTATGTATCTTACTATTGGAAGCTATTGATTTTAAGCTCTGATTCTACTGACCAGAGGATTTGAATTGGTAGGGTGACGTAGCTTGGAAATTTTACAGCCTCCTTAATGTTCTCCCCACTCACCCCTGCATATACCATTCTAGAATTTTGAAGCTGTGGGTTTTTTATTTGGCTGCTCCAACAAGAACAGAAATCTAGTATAACTAATTATTTATGGTTCTGTCGGCCTCAAATTGCATCACCTGATTATCCCTATCGTACTTATATTTAACCATGTTAGTCCTACGTAGACTAATCCTAATTTCATTTCTCAGCTCTCATGGTTCTTACACACGTTCAACTAATGGGATTATGCCTTGCTTGCCATTGTATCAGATATTCCAGTTCTACCACAGAGTTGAGTGACGCAATTTTATAGTCATTCCATGCACATGTATTAAGGTTTTACCACTTTGGACTGTGCAAACTCAACAAGGCTCCGTTTTAAGGCTAGTGGACACTTATTGGTTTTAATGCGATGGCTTATCTACCGAAGGAAACTGCATCGGAACTGTTTGGGCTACGATCATGTTATAATCGGTTTTGTGGTCGTGTATGCTCTCTTGGAAAGTCTTGAAGGCAAACCGCATTTTAAGCAAATTCTTCCCATGAATTAGTACCTCTTGAGTTTTGAATTAGCAAAACAAAACCAGCTGGCGCTACTAATTTACGTTTCCGCGACGGGCATTATAGTTCTAAAGCATTTCTGATATTTTTACATGGTATGCATTCCTCATCTGCTTCTTCATAGAATCGATACTCATCTTTCGCAATATCATTCACCGACCCGAAAATTTGTCTAGCTACATCGGTCTGAAAAGATTTAGTACATTTTATCAATATTGAATCGCATCCCTTCAGTGCGACGTCTTTTTATAATGACTAGTGCAAGTTATTTTTTGATAGGATTTAAAGAGCTCTTGAGCTGGCGATACCTCGATTCTGCCTCATGTTTGTCACAAGTTTAGAAGTTGTACTTGTTTTTAAGTAACTTACGAAAATCCAGAGTACATTTAAATCTGATTTTGGAACTGAAATCATATTGTGTCAGTACATTGCTCATGTACTCACTTAATTTCGAGAGTGATTCGTTACGGTTTTCCTATTGTACATAGTTTAAAAAGGCAAGTAATTCTAGCACAATGCTGTCATAAGTGCAATGGTATTTCGTTGTTCGTGCACCTTAATACGCCTCAACCTTCCCTTAAAGGGTACGCTTTGGGGAGACTATTAGTTTATGCTTTGTCAATCTGGGCTTCAATCCATCTACTATCTTTATAAGTTTTGTGCATAGATTTGTGAGTTATCAACTGTGAGTGTTATAAGGCCAAGAAAGAAGGTTGTAACCTCTCGTGGGATGGGAATGTGAAGCATTAATTGCTGTCCGAGTAACAATATCTAGACGAGGTCACATCTTTGCACCATCTTGACGCTGAAAACAACGCAATGAGAGTTCGTCCCACCTTGATTGCTCGTTGTTTCCTTGGCAGCGCGGGCTTCTCTTCACTTGAGCAATTTTCGTGTTCGAGTTTAACTTTGCGTTGAGGTGCAAATTTTTTAATGAAACAGTGGGCATCATTGGAAGACTACAACCGTGCTAATCCAGTTAATATCTTGGAGGGCTTTTGTGTGCGGTTTTGTGGCGCACTTTTCCTCTCTCCTCCATTGGAAACTTTACTCGCTTACTATTTGCACACGTAAATTGGAGGACATTTTGGTTACTTTAGCGAGTTGCAAAATATTAGGACGGCACTGGTCCTTGTTAGCATTGTAATGGTGATCCGAATAGGTCATTCGCTGCCTTTGACGGAACACATATCCTCTCCTTTTACGTTCGTTGTTGTGCCGAAAGCATGATGACGATGCATGACTGTGTTGGGTAGTTGCCATGGTTGGATATATTCTCTGATTGTCCACGCCATTAATCGCATCGCAGGGATGACAATTAGCGTCTTTGCGTGTACTTTCTGGCCTGCTGGCGTCCAGAAATGATCATCAATATTGACATAGGCTCTGTGGGTTTTTCCGCTTCTAAATTTTTCGTTGCTGTTATTTATGAGCCTTACATGTAACCATTCATAGTTATTGATCACCCTCTATGCATGAACCTTGTTATGCGGAGTAACCATGGTTTAGGTGTAATGCTGGAGAATTCACCTTCTCACCTCTAGCTTTTGCATCAAGCCTTAATCTGCCTCAGCAGGCATCGTAAGTGTGGCTAATCTTGAAACGGGGTTAAGGTCAGATAACTGCGCAGCTCGATGCTGCTTCGTACCCCTAAGGTGATTGGGTTCGCGGTCTAGCGGAGGTGACCTGGGCCCCAGTCATCAACACTGCTAACGCCGGTTCTCATGGTTTTTTGACTTTATCGAGTTACGACTACACCCGCAACCGTTTTAATTGGTCTCAAAGCGTTTATTTGCATATTGGTTTACTTGACGCAGTGCTTTTACCTTTTGAGTTCGAGTGTCAACTTAGCGGCAAAATCTTTCAGAAGGAGTACTTTTCAGGTAATGCTAGGGCTCACTGTTAAATGAGTCACCCACAATAGTCGACATTTGTTCTCCCTTAGACTTGACCGTATCAGAACATTCGTGGAACGCTTTTCAGGTCCATGGAAAGGCGACTTTTTTGCTACGAATGATCAAACGACTTTCCTCTTTGTTCAAGTTAAATGCCGTTCCCAGTGCAAAAAAGGGTATGCTTCATAAGAAAAACGACTTTTTGCATTAATTACAAATAACTTGAATCTGTGGGTGGATAAACTGCTACTGCTTTAACTTTATTTTTCCAACTTATTGCCTGATGATGACTGCACTGGACAGGATCACTTGCCTTCAAGGATAGTTACTGTATTCTAAGCATACATGTAATGAGTAGTTACTCGTTAGTTATCTGTTTCATCGACGCGACAATGAAATCCTTTTTTTGTTTACCCAGAGCTGAAAGTTCCTTACATTTGGGCGTTTTTTGCGTTTCCAATTTCCCCCTAGTTTTTATGCTGTCAGAGTAGTGTGTGGGAGCCTTGCTATCTTACTACTAACTAATTCATCCTTATTTACTTTGTGCTATTTTGGCGGTTTTTGCAATTTGCCTTACCAATTTATTAGATCGGCTATTTCTCACCCTCATTTTCACTGATGCAGAAATGCCTTAGAATATCACGCATTATGACTAACACTGACACAAATTAATGTCAATTTTTACCGTTCGAGAGTACTAATGATTGGCAACTGTGGAAAACCGTTCCACTATTGTTTTTCTGTTAGTCTTGGGACGAAGTTAGTTGCTTTTCATTTTTAATCACCACATTGTAGAAGTCGTGTGAAGCACATACTGTCGTTAATGAAGCCATCAACTGTGTCTGTTTTTGGCTCTTAGCACTGTTTTCGGACCCTGTCATTGCTATCAACACGCCATCTTCTGCCACTTTTCCAAGCAGGAACTCAGAGGCAATACTTTTTGGATGGTCATTTAACCTTACCAACTCATTTGTTTTTGTATGCCAGTGCAATTTGTGAATGCTTGATTCTTCGTAATCCTTTCACGTGTAACACCATGGAATACATAGTCCACTCCATTCTCTGGTTACCATAGGCATATACCATGTGCAAACTCGGAAATTTGTATTGCGAATTAACCATGTTCATTGGTGTTTACCTTTTTTGTTAGATTCTTGATGAACCGATTACAAGTGATAACCCCAACGACCAACCCGAGTGGCCTTCCTTTTCAATCTGCAGCAAATTCCATCCTGAATTCTTGTTACCCTAGCGACTCTCCCATGCGTTCAAAATTCCTACCAAGTTACTATCCTTTCCGACCTGACAAAAAGGTCATGGAGTCGGTGAATCGGCGTCTAGAAAAGCTTATCAATCTCTGTCGAGATCCTCGCGTCATGCTTCGAAATAGCCCCCCTTACCTCCTGGATATTTTGCCAGACATTGCCGACAAACTGAAGCGCATCATGTACGCATATCAGGGCTGTCTTGATGAACTCTTCAAATCCCTTTATTTCCAGGTGTTCTTGTACAATCTTAACGAAAAATGCGAACTCACTTCAAAGTTGTTTAAAGAGGCGAAGGACAAGATGTATGACGACCACTCGGAGCCCAGGCGAAGACTTACAAAGTACTCCCTCGTTCTGTCCCACATCTTGAAGGATCTTGAAGCTCTCTTTCCTAATAACAAATACGCTCCTGAGGCCTTCCGCATCACCAAACGAGAGGCTGCAGACTGGTGGCGTGAGAATTTTGGCGACTCCTCTATTGTATCCTGGGAGGTGTTTCGAACCCGACTCTTTGCCACCTTTGGAGTGTTGGAGCGCAGCGAGGCACGCGAATTACAGAACACTATCGATCTCACATGTAACTATTACGTTTCTGTCTTCGAGTTTGACGTTTTTGTGCGTCTCTTCCAGCCTTGGACCAATGTCCTCGAGACCTGGAGGGCGTTGACCATAATGCATGCTGGCTACATGGCATTCATGACCTACGACGAGGTGAAAGCAGTACTGAAGAAGTTCAGAGGACATCCAGGTCCAGGCAGCTACGTGTATCGCCTGTCTTGCACCAAGTTAGGTCAGTGGGCCATTGGCTATATAACTGAGAATCTGCGTATCCTGCAGACTATTATTCAGAACAAGTCACTTGCTCAGGCTCTCCTAGATGGTGAACGTGACGGCTTCTACCTTTATCCAAATGGAACGCCTAGCCAGTCATCCATTTTAACTCCTCTCTTGCGTAATATTACCCATACTCGTATCCAGGTCTCTGAGGAGCAGCACCAACTCTATTCGCGAATAGGATCTACCTTTGAGGTGTGCAAAATATGCACGGAGAACAATAAAAACATTCGCCTGGAGCCTTGTGGCCATCTGCTCTGTAAGGTTTGCCTCCTAAACTGTCAGAACGCGACTAGCGGTCAGACATGTCCCTTTTGCCGACTAGAGGTGAAGTCCACAGAAGAGATAATCCTTGATCCTTTCATTCCCTCCAATGATGATGACGTGATTGGACGCCATGCACCGGAGGTTACAGCAGAAGTAGAGGAAGAGGAAGAGGAAGAGAAAGAAGAAGAAGATGAGGAGGAGGAGGTGGTGGCAGAGATTGGGAGAGAAGTCAGTGAAAGTGATTCCAACTTTCAGGATAAGGAAATTGATGCAGTTCTCGCTGCTCTTCCCTCTGCTTCCACCTCCACTGATGTCATGCTCTGCTCCAGTTCAATTGAGAACACGTCTGATGGTGAAGAAAATGCTGTTAATTCTCCAAGGAGGAAGAGGGACTCTTCGTCGTGTTCTCTTCGTGTCAACGAACCTGAAGTTCGTATTCCAAATGGTCCAAGTTACCTCACTGAGGCAGTGGAGGCAATATCATTTGATACAACCGCCTTCATGAGGAGGAGTGATGTTGCCGGTGTGGTGCTGGAAGGACCACCTCTGACAGTGGAGGTAGCGCGTCAACTGCTGGAAATCTGTGAGGGCAACGCTGACATTGCTGCTCGCGTATGGCGAAACTTTGTCCCGCGATCGTGATTCCACACCCTCATTGCGACCGGCCGCCTCTCTACCCTCTCCTTTGTCTCCTTTGCTCAACACTTAATATTTTTGTATGCTTACCACACGTCTCCCCTAGTCCAACTGTACAACATTTATGTAATTTTTTGCACTCCTTTGATCGTTCACGTCTCCCTTTACTTCTTCCCCCTCCTTTACCATAGCTTCGTTGACCCACGAAAGCCAAAACATTTCCCTAGTGTAACTAGCTTTTTGTGATATGGAGAGAGCGACCAAAGCCCTTTTTGTTCTAGTGAAATTATTTGACTATGGGATAGAGAAATTGTTATTTCAACCAATTGGGTGCTTATTTATTTGAAGTCGCTATTGGTGGTTCAGTGATGTGAATGTGAATGCAGTGTGTATTTGTAGTCAGTCCAAAAGCAGCATCACACTGTTGTGGGAATACTTTACAACGCAGAACATGCCTAGCTTTGGTGCTTCGTCTAATTAAGTAAAAGAGGCGAGGCGGTGCGGTGCGAATGAACTGTGGGGGTGACGCAGCGTTTCTGATCGTATCGGAGTGGGTGGGCGGCGTTTCCAGCCCAGATAATAGGTGGTCGGTTTGGCTTATGCGAGATTTTAGACGCAGTAACGCGTCTCCTTGAGGGTAGGCCTTCATAGGATCCTCTGAGGTGTGATACACACTGATAACTCTTGGGATTGTGACGCCATTAGGCTGACCGCGAAGCATACAGCTAAAACAGCGTTAGGTGATGAAACAGTGGGGGATGCTAGGTTCTTCCAGAGCGCTTAAAAAGGAAGAAGAGAGATAGTGTTGTGAGTGGGGAAATGTGTTCAGTCGAAATCTCCATCCACTAGTTTTGTAGCCAACCTGTATCAAGAAAGGCAGAGCCGTGGGTCGTTCCATCGGTTTCTGGTACTCTGTGGCAATCCATTATGGTCTGTTTAAGAATTTTTGCTTGACTAAATGTTGCAAACGTGACCATATAGGAACGGGGTTTTACCAAAAAGGCGAATGATTCACGCTTCCACAATGGATATAAGTTTTTACTTCGATGGCTAGTACTGTAAAAAAGACCTGAATCAAGTTGCGTTCAACTACAAAAATCACGCGACTCTTACTGAGCTGAGCGGCAAATGTTTATCACGTCATCGGTGAAGGTAGTAGCGCCTGCCGGTTAGATTATTGCAATCACAAATACACTCCAATTGGTGGATAGTAACGCAAAAGTACCTTAGAGGAGTAGCGAACGCTGACACCGACAACATGTGACAATTCAGGAATTGCCTGCTTAAATAGTGACAACAACTAAAATGCTAACTTCCAACAAGTGCACTAATTACCTGCTTCACTTTGTCACCTACAGTTTATAATTAAGTTGATTTGGTGAAATGCCTTACACTTTTCACTAATTCGACTGCTAAATGGACCGCTAAACTCGCATTCAACTCCCCTCCTGTGACCATCAGAAAGGTGAATTTTGAGGTGTGTGCATGCGATTTCAAAGGATTTATAGGAGAACTACGAATGCTAAGGGAATGGTTAAAGGACAAAAATGTCTTTTGTTGTCAAGGCGCAATGAGCTACCCGGTTCAGCTAGCTAATAAGACCTACAAACAGAGTGAAAATCGACGTCCAAACTCGTAATTACATTTCGTGTTGTTTTATCCCAGTTAAAGAATTATTATTATCAACCACAAACCCATTCAAGTTAATACAGTAGTTTCGGTGCTGTAAGTAGTTTATGCTCTAAGAAAAAAGAATATCACTTTTGCTCTTCAGGACACCTTTAGAGTTGTCAACCCCTTCGTGCGATGCTCACCGTGATGCAGGCAAATGGGACCACGTCTTTATTCGTTATCACAGTAAGACCACTTTGGAAGCCTTAGACGAGCTTCACTCTGCGTCCCAGCACATACAGTCGTGATTTTAGTTGTAAATGAACATCTGCCACCACATCTTGGAGGGTAGAGATACTAGAATCGTCCACCAGCAAGCGGTTTGAAGATGTAATTCCGATTACAAGTTTGCTAATAAATTAGCAGCTGCTGATCACGTTAATCGCACATTCCAAACCGTCCGACACCGCTTATAAGGAATAAATGCTGCAGATGAATAAACTTCTGCTTCGCCAGACCTACAAGATCCGTTTCGAAACAGTAAGACTACGCACGACACCCTTAAAGCCTAGATAGCAGCATTGAGTGGAGGAATATGGGTCTAGCCGATTTCGAATGGACCACTATATGAGGATGCTCTGATTTTGTATACTGGCTTGTAGAGGACTTTTCCAACCCATTCTCAACCAGGCCAAGAAGGAAGTCGATCAATACAATCTGCAGACGATAGGTTCTATTCATGCTTTGCTGAAAAGAGCTTGCAACACTGCACTTTGGTGCAGCTCACTGTCGTAAATTATAAAAAGCACCAAATAGCCGTTAAACTAGTAGCGTAAACGTGAACATCAAAGTTGCAGACTTGAAGTCGGTAAGGTCGTCACACGATCTTGCGCCAATATTGAGTTATTTTCGGCACACCTATTACACGGGAACCCATTTGCCACTTTAAAAAGCGCGTGCATCGTAGCCAACTGCCACAGGTTCGCATAAAGTTAGTAAACTCAACCAGGCTATTTGAAGCGCACTTTCATGTAGAAAACCTTTAGAGTGGCTTTTACAAGGACAGCAGAAAATGAGAACCTCTCGGCAGGTAGAAAAAAAAGAAAACACGAGAAGTGTGGGATGAAACAGGTAGAGGGTGTAGGCCAGCGGAAATAAATGGATTTAAAGGAAGAGAAAAGTTAGTGCGACTTGGGCATTTGGAGGCATATACCACGGGCGGCCAATCCAATCTCAGTGGCCTTGGTGACACGGCACAACTGACCCTTGAACTCGGATCGATAAGCGGCACCAGAAAGGGGCTCGCGTACACACTCCTCGCCGCGGTAGATGGGCGTGAAGGAGGCGGGACAAATCTCGAAGGGATTCCGTGGATCGTACGCCAACTCGAAGGCGTCCACGGGGTTAGCATCGCAAATTCGCAGAATTTTACGCGTCTGCTCCGCCACCTCTGGTGAAGGTGCCAGGTCCAAAAGACGACGTGCCATTAACGCCGCGGTACGCAAATTCTTCAGCTTGAACAGCAGGTTCACTGAAGTGCGTAGGGTTAACACCAGATGAGGCAGTTCCAACTTCATGTGCGTGAAGTAACAGGCCAGTTCAACGTTTCGTACTCTGTCCTAGAGGGTCCAGGAGGAAATACAGAGCTTATTTAAACGCCTAGAGAAAAATAAATACCGAGTAAGCGATTAATGCCGACCCTAAAAGTAATATTGGAAGCCCACTATCGTCATTTGCAAATACTGATGTCAGTCTAATAAAACTGGATGAACAGTTGAGCAAAGAGCGTCAAACTCATAGGGTCCTCTCGGTGAATTGTTTCGTGTAAAAGTGGTAAACCAGGAAAAGAAACAAAACTTGCAAATGGAGATGAATAAAACCCTTTTTGTGGCAGGTCCCAGGCACGAATGTCCGCAAACTATAATTGCGGCACAAAAATTGAATCACTTCATTGTTTCCCGGAAATTTTAGTGTCTGACCAAAATCTCAATTTCCTAATACTTTATTTGATAAAAGTAGGGCTCAAAAGAGCATGGATCTAGTGGCAGCCATAAGCGATTTTCCCAGCCAGAGGCAAGTGAAATTCGTAAGAAAAATAAAAAAAAAAACGCTACAACACACACTCCCCAAACTGATTGACGAAGGATTGTTATCGCATTGCAAAGCCACTTAAACTGAGGTGGTTATCAATGCATATTAATGGGTAATTTCATTAAGCCCTCAATCACACACACATATACACACATGTAGAGTTGTAGTAATGATTCAATTAGAGGCATCATTACCATGAGGGCAGACTCGCTAAGCGTGGAGAGGGTATTAACAGAGACGAATTCCCAAGGCAACCGGCACTCAAGGTACCGCAGAACCTGAGGTCTGTAACAATTTCATCCAAGTCAACGCACTGAACTTTCTAACGAGAACAGAGTGAACAGCAGATGAAATTAAAAGACACTCAAGGTTCGTGCGCTTAAGCCTTGCGTCGATTCCGAGAACGACTAGTCTGAATGATTCAGGAGCTTCAGTCCATATTCAAGACGGAGAGAGTTCGAAAACCATAAACCATGAATTAAAGGGATATTTTTAAAAGTTGGCTGAAAAAAATGGCCTTAATTGTAATTGAGTGTCAAATGTAAACCTTTTGTAGGCGAGAAATTGAAATCATAAGTAGAATCTAGTCAGAGCTACTACCGTCTTGAACGGGCATGCAAAGCGCTGCCGTTCACATTACCAACTTAAAAAACTAGCATAAAGATGAAAGCTGGGAAAAACTGAAGAGGATGTATAACAGAACCGATATAATATGGAGAGGCCGATGCGGAATGCGTTGGATGCAAATGAAAAAGTGATTACCTTGTCGGTTTCCTTAGGTAAGGTCTTACGAGTCATCTCCATTTGAAGACCAATTATGTACTCCTTGCAAATGTTGATAAGACTCTTAGCCTCAGCCTCTTCAGTATTGTTGTCTACCAAGAGGAGAGGCACGGAAAGCATGATGGAGCGAAAGCGCTCGACAGCATCAGCAAACTTGGCCTTCGTAGTCAGCTGGTAGGCGGTCTGCAGACGGGAGATCAGGTGCTCCAGACGTAGCGGCAAGGCGGGAAGTGCGCTGGAGAGTGATCCGCAAGTGCGGTGGGCGTAAATGCGCAACGCGGGGGTATGCCCTGGTCCCGGAAGCACCATTCGCGAAGCAGCATAAAGAGCGTGGAAGATAGGCGCGTACGGCTTAAAGTCCACCACACCCACTTGTTGGTTCAGTAGACGCATCGCTTGTGCGTAGGAGCCTATAGAACAAAAATTCTTAGAAAGCGTTGATTTGACGCACACTAATTTGACAGTTTCTAAATAAGCCCAGCTTTTACTCTTAACGGTTTGATTTTCTTCATGGCGATATGGAGCTGCACTTATTCTGACAGTCTCTCACACTTTTCCTGCTCTCTTTAACGATGACTGAAGGGCAGTTTCGCCGCAGAACCAGTGCCAAGGGATAAGTTATGAATGGAATCAAGAAACGCGAAGGAAGAAAAGCAAGCGCTTAACGCAAGACATGTAGCTCCTTATAAGAAAAGTAATGAATACGGTTTACCTAAAAAGTGGCCCAAAGACTGTTTACAGATATCAGGCACCCATTGGCGATTTGCCGTTTTCTCACATAAGATCTCTTATGATACCTCACTGACCATACTTGAGGAATTCGTTATACTTACGCGTATTTCCGTCGTGCCAAACGTCCACCTCTTTATGGCAAAGATTCTCCCGTTGGTGAATAAACAGAATGCGTACAGGTGAAAACTACTCATTTTATAAGCTCTCACTGAAGAGTTGGTAGCAACATTCAATTTAATGGGAGCATGATAAACAATCCAAAGGGGGTCGGACTACGGGAAAAAATTCCAAGTTATGTGTCGTCAAATCAACCAAGAGACATCAAGATACAACTGTTCACATTTCCCTTTTAAGCCAAAGGTTCGTCTGCACGGTCAAACGATTTTATTCATTAGACCTTTAATAACATACCACCATCGCGAACTATTTCAAGCTAGCCAATCGCTAACTCAAAAAACCGGAAATTTCAGTCCCAAAGCGACACAGTAATTTAAGATAGAAATCAGGATGCCAAGTCTCCACCAAAATTGTCAACTGGATCTAATATTACTCCCAATTTTATGTCTAAGCGATCAATAAAGGTAATGGGACAAGAATACAGAGCAACAGTAACGTTTCAAGTAGTAACCAGTTAAGTTATAAGTTGACATATTTGGTCACGTGAGGCAGGAGCTATTTTAAGGACATCTTAGGCCAAATTTAAGGTTACAGTTCCGAAGGTAGGAAAATCCAAACCAATCAAGAGGTCATACGGGTACTCTAATCTCCAAGACGCACTCTATGGAGCGGAAGTACTAAAGGTGGTATTAGATAACGAGACTGAGTAGTATCCTCTCTTGGACAGACGTTGTGCGACCAACTGTGACTCTAGATGCTTCCCATAGAAATGCCACTAGGGAGTTTACAAAAGGTTTGTTTAAGGGCTAGCCTTCAGACTCGAATACACGTCGGGAGACAGCAGTTATGGAAAAGGAGGGGGCGGAAAGACGTGCAGAATAGTGATTAGGCGCATTGACTATGCACATGCATCCGCCCACCCGAAGACAGCGCCTGCGCAGTAAGCTAACACCACTGTTGGGTGCTAATCAGGCCTTTTGGAGGCGACTTGGGAACCAGATCAAGTTGAAACAAGGACCTCAAATGCACCAAAAACTACAACACAGACAGGATTTGGTCTGCCGCCATACTCGTTAAACACTGTACGTTCCCACGATTAGCTCATAATACATAAATACTAAGGTTTGAGTCAGTAAGTAGACCACAGAAACAAGCTGGTTTTCGACCACTTTCAAAGATATATATATATGTACTAACTCATGGTTGATAAGTTCAATAGCAAACAGCTAAATACTTGAGAAATAATGTCAACAAAGCGTTAGACAGAATATCCAAGCCAGAAACTACAGAACTGGGGTGAAACCCACCAGCAAGAATGTGGTCAACAGCAAGTGGAGAGTTGTCAATCCAGTATGATTCGGGTGAACGACCCGGTGTAGGCTCCGTGAATGTATCTAGCGTTACTTTCTCTGTGGTCACGCCTACTGTAGTGCCAAGAACTTCGGCTAGAAGATCCGGATCCTGTTCTGCGTCCCAACCTCCTGTGGAAGCCAGAAAAATTTAATGTAATTCTAATCTTCTGACCAGTGACAGAAATGGTCTAGCAGGACAAAATCCACTAACCTTCTTCAGTATCACCCAAACCAGCTTCTCCACCTTCTTCCTCATCACCAAAGCCACCCTTGGTAAATTTGCCTTCGCCTTCCTCATCCAGCGCCAAGTCGGTGTCTTCGCCCCAGTTAGCCACTTCGGAGGAATCCATGTTGAAGGCAGCCTTATCAGGCTTGGGCAATTGGATTCGTGGTCCGGATGTCGCTTCGACATCCTCCAGACCCGCCTTCCCAATGGCCACCTCAAAAAAGTCCTTGTGTACACTCAGGGTGGGCCAGTTACTCTCTGCCACCTCTGCTGCTGAAGCTGGTGGTGATGGAACCAGTAGTTTGGCCGAGGGATTAGCTGGAGGAGCTGTTTCTCCGTTTTCTATAAGCTCCTTCGCTTCTTGTATTAGTCCATGCGTTGAGGCAGTAAGGAGAGCCAGAGAGCCCCGGCCACAGTTCTTAAGCACCTTTACACGCTCTGCTACATCACCCAACAATAAAGCGATCTGAAACTGCTTCCCCAAATCCCGTCGCACCTCCGCTATTTTCATCATTTTGCGCAGTTTCTCCAGATTACCCGTAATGAGGTAGAGGAATGTGAGTTTGGAGAAGTTTTTAGTTCGCTGGTAAGCCATTTCAAGGACGTTAATGTTGCCCTGCCGTAGAGCCAATTCACCTAGACGTTCCCAGCAAGCCTTGTCGTCGAGGATACGAGCTGCCTCCAGACCGACGTCCAAATGTCCACAATCCATTGCTAGGGAAAAACGAGTTCTCGTATCCTTAACAAAGTGCAAGGCCACTTCAGGGTAACCCTTCTGTTCTAGATAGCCGATTATCGCCTGCCCGACAAGGTTTGCGTTGTTTACCATGTAAAGCACTTCTTCGTAGCGACGGTTAATGAGAGCGAGTTTAAATCGGTATTCTGTGGGATCAACAGAGAGGATTTTTGGTTGGCAATCCCGATCCAGACAGAATATCGAGTCACCATGTACCTTGGTGATATAGATGACTAAATCAAGGGTGCGTATGATGCCATGATCCCCGTTTAAGAGGCAATATTTGATGTGAGTCGATGTGGTGTAGATAAAAACCCCAGCCTCCTCAGCCCAGGCGCCACTCTTGATACGAACGGTTTCGTGGATGCTAGTCTTTACCTCCAACTGGCGATCACAAAGGTAGAGAAACATTTTGCTGAAGAATGCTACATGCTGGCCGTCAGGTGACCAGATGGCTTGGCGAATGAGCTTGGTGTTTTTAAGAGTTGCAAGGGTTCGCCCATTGGCCACAGAATAGAGACTCAGACAGGAGGCATCACGTACAAGAATATTACCAATACCACCATAAAAGATGCAGTCGGTGCCAGGCAGATCGATTTTTTTAATTTTCTCATTGGCCGAGTTGCGTACTGCTAGAGTACCAGGTGCTTCAAGGACGACAAATTTGTTGCGTCCGATCCAGACAGCCCCCGAGCCGTGACCACTGCGACTCTCTGCCGCATTATCACCAGCTGAGCCATCCTTCGGCAGCTGATAGAGGTCATAGGTAACTTGAGAGGTATTGTAGTTGGCAGTCCCCGACTCCGTAAACTGTGGTCGAGAGGTTATTATGACAGAGTTCTCGATGTGGTTATAAGCAATCGCAAATGGTGTTCCGTAACTGAAAGAGAAGGGAACGAGGAAACCAATCATTAAGTTTCAAGTCAAGAGTTGATGTAAAAAAATTAATTATGCTTCTTGCCGAAAAAACCTTGGCCTTGGTTCAGCCATATTTAACGTCTGGTCTGGTGTTGAGCAGAAAAGTTAAAAGTACACACTAACAATAAAGACCACAAGAGATTGAATTAAACCAAATCAAATAGACACAAACTATATCAACTTTAGGTAAAAGTGTACAAATATTTGTGTTACATCAACTTGATATATTTCCACAGTAAATAAGAAGGATGCCGCAAAGGCGGGAAATATTGACCACCCATTAAGAAACCATATCAGGTCGCGGAAAGAGAAAACGATTATGAAGAGAAAATCAGGTAACACCTTGGACCATAATCCAATGAAGAGCTCGCCGATGAGAGGTAGGGGAAAACTTGAAAAACCAGGTTTATAGAATTAAGCGTCAATCTACGTGTCAAGAAAGTTCTCACGAAAAGAAAAACGGAAAAATTCCATTTCGACGCAGATAAGAAAGATGAATTCGTAAGAGCGTTGCCTCGGAGGAAACGAAAGTCAAAGGTAGAATGATCGAATTCGTCTAGAGAATACATGGAGATGGACGACACTACGCATCGACATCACAAACTAGAAGGTGTTTCGAAGAATTTCGAAAACAAAGTGCGCCTCGAATACAACTTGACCGAGATAAGTAGGAATAAAGAGATTACACAATCCAACACTAAAAAGTCGTAGTTTGGTTGCACAATTCACTTCCAGTGCTTACGAAGCATTGTCTTCGCAGAAACAGATTTGAGACTCAAGTAGATGGACAAAAGCAAAGGGAGGAAGAGGGGTAGCTATACGAAACAGGTAGAGATGTTACAAGTTGTGCCTGCCAATAAGGGCCAACAACCACTGGAGATGGTCAATGCATTACCGCGGTTTGCAATTCAAAAGCTATAACAAATCTATCCTAATCAAATTTCTCCCCAATGTCAGCCGAAAATGAGCTTGGGAAACTGTTCCAATTTGAGGAATCAAAAAATCTACTACCTTATCTGATTTAACCAAATGTATACTAGTGTTTCGCCAACGTTACTGTCTCATACAACAACATGAAGTGTGTGCTATCATTAATTAAAATAGAAGGGAAATAACATAGAATTAATCGTGAGCTACGCAAAACTTAGGGCCCAACAATGGGAATGTACATCGAGATAAGGCTTAAAACTTAGTGTAAAGAACAACCGCAATATGAACAGTTTGGAGAGAATGCATAAGCTTCACATGTGGTAAAGAAGTACAACGGGACCCAAGCCTAATTCCTCGATAGAGTGAGTGTGAAACAGTTACTTAAAGATTGCGTCGATAGAAAAAACGCCTTTTCGTAAATAACAAATGTGTTCTTGAACACGCAACCAACTAGCAGCAACCACTACGACTGGAACGGAGATTATTTCAGAAAAGAAAGTCTCGAGTACTACTCGATTGGCAATGAACAATAATAATTCGATGAAAAACCCACTCCTTGAGAACCATAACAGGGGAGTCTTTGGTGTTGGCCAAGTTGAGTTTGCGCAGCTGTTTTCCCTTCACGTAGAAAAGAAGGTCTCTATGTAGGGTCCATGCGGGTCGTTCACGTTCCAATTTGAAAACAATCATGCCCTCATCGTGACCTGCGGCGAAAAGATTGTGCGCAGGATGTGCAGCGAGAACCCAGAAACGGTCCGAGTCCCGCCGGATGGTGGCCACACAGGCGCGCTTCGCCAGATCCCATATGCGGATTGTCTTGTCTTCAGAGTCCGACAGCAGTAGATCCTGCTTAGGGTGGAAGACGACACAACTGACGTTGTTTGTGTGTCCCCGTAGAGTGTCCAAGAGCCAGGCCTTTGTCTCTGCCATTACCCAATACGCAAGGTGAATTTTGAGAAAATTAAAATGAAACTGATGATAAGGTGCCTCGAGTGTTAAGATACACATGATCCATATACTAGACCATGGGATGTGGGCTTCTGCAGTCACAGCTGGAAATGAGAATTATTACTTTAATCATTCAAGTAGCACTTATAAGTGAGGAGAACAGACACGCAGAATACTAATGATGCATCGTAATGCATGATAATGATCTTTAGGAACAATGGAAGATAATCACGGCATTGACAATTGCAACATCTATCGTCGTCCTTGGGATATAGGCTTCTATATTCAGAAACTACACACAAGCGATAAGTCAGCGCAATGGACGGAGTAAGGAACAAATCCAAGAACCGTGCATGACTTCTTCCTAATTAAATTGTCTAAGGGCACAACCCAAGTAAGCTAGAATGGGAGAAATGTAACTGATTTATTCACTTCAAAACTATTAATTGCTGGTTGACCACTTCCTGCGACCGTGGTAACAAAGTGTTTCCGCTGATACTGCAATATTTTTATAAGTGCCAGTGAAATTAGAACAGAGCAAGAAATGGTCCGTATCAGTTGTACCGAGGTAAAACTCCATAGTATATCGCAGCAACTATGTGTCCACGATGAGTGAGCATAACATTAGAAACCTCGAAAATATCCTAGGCAAGCTGATGACTTTTTAGGCAGTCAGTGCCACTTCATAGCTAGATAGCCAAGCACTACTCCATCAGTCGATAGCATAAAGCTAAAGTCAAAAAATCTTGAGCACCCACCTAGCAAATATTTTTCATCGACTATCGCAAGACCTACTTCAGTGGAAGTTAACAGTGATATTGACTTTTATATCGATTGCTGTGATATCTGAAGTGCACTGCTCTAAAAAGTTGCGCAAACAAAAGTAGGGATAAGCAAGTGACCTGGAACCCACTAAGATCATACAACTTCGGAATGCTCAAAACTACCGGTTATACGCCAGAGACGAATCTGACGATCGTCAGAGGCAGAGACAATGATGGGGAGGGTAGGATGGAAGACGACCCAGTTTACGCCTCGGTCATGTCCCTCAAGGACGTGACGCGCTACTACGTCGGTAGGTCCGAAAAATTCGGCATTGCCTCCCAATCCGCTGTGACCCATTGAACTGTTGCCACTGGAGAGGTAGCGCACCTGCTCCTGCACACCAAAAAGACGAGATAGTCACAGTTCTAGCATATTTATAACCTAGTAGAGGAAGAAACTTCTGAGAGATTAAGCATCTCGTTCTGCCAAGACCATAAAATGCCTTCATTTTACACTCGTTTTCCTATCTGGTTCCTTTGTTTCCGGTAAGATTATTCATGTTTGTGGCTTAGGAATTCGTCTCAAAACATTGGAGCGGTAAGAGAATGAATGATGCAGATACTCCAGTCCTCACTCTGTTCCGATGTACCTTTATATACCGGCCCTAACCGTTAGTCACTTCAGCTCACAGCTTTTCATTTCACCCCGAGATAATGGTAGAGGTGAACCACAGAGTAAAAGTGGTCACGACATAACCATTCTGAAAAGGGAATTTCATACTTTAAGCATTTCAGAACACAACTCGACCTCAAGAGACGCAAAGCACAAAGTGGGTTCAATAAACATTAAAGGACGAAATTTAAATGCAAAAAAAGTCTGTGCACGACAAACCTCAATTCCGCTCAGATTTGCGGGCGCAACATTCTTCTTACGAAAACCAGAAATATCCCACACACGAACACTTTGATCAAGGGACGCAGAGACCACGAGGTCCTCTTTAGGGTGGAATTGCGCACACATCACATAGTGACAGTGACCTGTAAGCACACAAGCCAAAGAACGAGCCTGCCAATTCCAAATGCGTATAGTCTGGTCATCTGAAGCGCTCAATATCCACGGATACTCCTGGAAAAAATTTAAGGACATTTGGCATCAGATGCGTTGCAAAATTGCATAATGACATACATCCGTGGACGCACATGGTGAAAGAACGTCGTGCGTATATAATCCATGTGACCATGAAGCGTAAACAAACATTTGCGTTGCTTGTAATTCCAAACCCTAATCTTGTAGTCGTCACCACCAGAAACAAACAAAGGCTGGTTCTTGTGAAAGTCAATACCACGTACGGGTCCCTCATGCTCCTCAAACTTATCAATGAGAGTGCAGGACCTGTAGTCCCAGAGTTCAATAACACCGGTGTGAAGGCCCGACAAAATCCATGGTCGCTTCGGATGAAAAGCTAGGCCTGTATAGATTGATTGCATGGTGTAAAGGCCATACAATAAAAAATAAATAAATAAAATCAAAACATTGAAAAGCTGTATAACCTTTAACTCTAGCAGATGACGAATCGAACTTGGATAGGTAAGCCATACCACGGAGATGTGCCTCTTTGGAATTAGTCAATAAGGGCGGCTGCCAGTTTGGTGCCATAAACGAAAATCTCGATTATAACATTAGAATTCTAGATATTAATAAAGCCGAGCAAAGCATCCGTTTACTATTGCAAACATAAAATAATCTTTCAACAAATCAGAAGAGCATCAGTCAGTTTTTTTGCAGAACTCTAAGACTTCATTTGTGTGAGCAATTTACACATTCACGTCATGGTTTAAAAATTTCGAGATGTTATGGCTTTTCAAGTGAGAATTATGACTGTAATTTAAGCCGATTGATGCAACAAAATAAATGATGTTTTACGTCGAAGGCTTAACTTCGTGAAAAGAAGTAGTCGAGAACCAATGTCTCTTTCAGTCTTGTTGGTATAGCAAATTAAAATGTACTAAATCGATTCTCTGTTTGGGCTTACCGGAGCTTTACCGCGCCTACAAGCAAGTGATTCATAAATAATTACTATACTGTTCCATTACAGATTCGATTTTTCCTTAATTTTAGTAAAGATTCTCAACCCATCGATGGAAATCATTAAAACAAGCCCGACTGCATTAACAGCCTACGGTTCATGTAGCCTATGATGTCATTTCCTTCACATTCGGTAATTCATTAGAATTTTAGCAGAAGAGCTTTTAGCAAACTTTTGGTTTTTTGGTTTAAGGTTCTTGGAAGACGTTGCTTAGAACAGGAGGAAAGGTCTATCTTTTTGTATTATAGACTTTATTTTCTAATAAGTAATATCCTAATTTTACATTTGTTGCACTGCTGTCACACCTTCGGCATACCCTACGTAGGTGGTTGTAGAGTTGGTTATATTTATTCCTTTTAACTTCTAACTATTTGATTTGCTATCTCCTCTAATAAAGCATGGGTTGATGTTGAATTAAGGTCTTAGTGATGGTTTTAATTGTTTCCGTTGTCTAGCATCTGCGCCTTGGACAATTTTCCTATTTTATTTTGTTTATTTGGCTTTTGGCTTTACCTGTCTCTTGAATATCTGTGAAGCGCTTGCGTATCTTTTGGAACACCCGTCGTAACTATGTGACCAGTTGGTTTCACTGTGGGTCAACCTTTACTCGGCACTTAAATTTTAGTTGTTGGAATGATTTAATAGTCGTTGTGGGTTACGGATATCCAACATCTAATTTTGAGGGCTTGTGGCCATTCGCTTTTCGTAATGTATTTGATTCACTTCTTGAAATGGGTGCTTAACCCTCTTGACTTTGGACGCCTATCCCTAGTTTTTTATGGTGCCCAATTTTTCTCTACTAGAAGTGATTTTTAATTCTTTTTATTTATCGCTGCAAAGTTGCATCCTTATTAGCATCTCATTCTCACTTTAGCATCACCCCGAGTACCTAGTGGCACAAAGACAGGCTATCGAGAACTGCATTGAAACCATATCCCGCATAAGAGCACTCGCCTCACCTGATCCATGCCAACAGCATGTCCGCTTCGCTACACTTCGGAACCAGCTTTATCGAATCGCTTTGCAATGTGATCTGCAGTTGGGTGACACGGGTCCCATACTCCCTCCGGGGCTTTCTTCTTCCGGGGGTATAGCCTGGCGTCTCTCTGCAGACTGCTTCTCAGTTGTCATATCTGCTATCCCAGCCGATGGCTATAGTCTCCCGCCTGGAACCACCCCGCCTGAAGACTATCCAGTTAGCGTTGCCGCTGTTCATTTCGAGTTCAATCAGGACAAACCGATAGTACTTACCTTTTGTTATATAACCTCCCTTGCGATAGGAATGTAGTGTACTAGTTGAAGATCTAAAGAAACGTAACTATAATTCCCTCTTGAAACATGTGAAAAATTTGATTTTACTCTACGATCTTCCGGGCGAAATGTAAGCTTTGGTCGTGATCCTAATGTCTCTCCTTAGAGCTCAACGATGTCGAGCATACCTATGCCTCCAGGCCCTAGAGCAGGACTTATTAATGCTTTCAACTGCAGTGGGCAATCGAAAATCTAACGCTGTGACTCCTCAAAGTCTTGAAATTCCAGGCCTTTCATGGAAGAATCCCACCTCCCCAAGTGAAGTGAGCTGTTTGGCTCAGTCTATAAATGGTTCGGCAGTGGGTCAAGTGATCCAACGTACCGGCGGCGTCTTCACTGTCCTCACTTACTTTGTCTCGGCCGTACAGAGGGCCATCGCAATGTCTCACGCTCCGAAACCCCCTGCTCGGTCAGATCCAGAAGCCGGAATGCTAGGCGGTTTTTGTGCCTCTGTAGGTCTGCGTGCCACTGCAAATGCAAATCAGCACTCATTACCTCTCGTCTCCTTGGTGAATATAATAAAAGATGCTGACGGATATAAGTGCGTTACCCTGCTTTACCTTTTTGACATCTTTCATTAAGCATTTAATAAGGTCGTATGGGTTATCTATGACGAATAAGGATTTTGAGGATCTATTCCACTTGTATGGATGAGTGAGGTTGTGAATTATTAGCACACGTAGTGTATCACTTTACTGACAAATACCAACTTATGCTTCCAATAAGGATATATGTGAATAACTAATCCTTGAATTTGTATTATGGAGGCTTGGTGATTTTTTCTAATTTGCAATTTCTCATTACTTGAGGTGTTCGAAACATTTTCTCAATTAAGCCGTGAATTTAAAATTCTAAATAATTTTATTTTAGTATCGCACAGTTCACAAACGCAGATAATATTACCCGCGTGAATATTGCCGCGGAATTCTTTCTCAGGCTTCACCCACCCCTTTTATTCGACGTTGAATCCATTTCTGCGATTGAGGCAATCACAAGTGAGCAGATTTTCTTAGTGATTTGTCCTGAAAATCCCTGATGGCTACAACTACATCCTGATTTCTTGTTTATCACTGCATTAACAGAAATTCCAATGGATTCTTTAAAACAAAATGAACCACTTCCCCTCCATCATCTTCTGCTTCGTCAACATAACCAAGAAGGTCTTTCATCCATCGACGTACACATGGTAATTCAGAAGCTTTCAAGTATTCTATTAATGCTACAATTTAATTTGCTGCAATTCCTTAAAGCCAACCGAACGGTTTGTTTGTTTCACTACGTAATTGTTTCCTTCCATCTTAAATCAGAATGTTGTCTAGAATCGGATGATTCTGTATCATTACTATTGCCAATTGATGAGGTTTTCAGAGGCCTCGAAGTTCGTTATTTGAGGAACATTCTCCATTTGAATAATGCTTGCTTTATTTGCATTCAAGATTTGTTTTTGTCAAATCTCTCAAGACCCTCCCCAACAAGGTGCAGCATGCATACCATATAGTTTCCAACAATTTACGGGGCTATGTTGTCAATGAAATCGCATTCACGTGTCCAAGTCAACTACCCCCACTAGTTCAACTTCTTCGCCGAAAAGCTGCGTGGCTGTCATTTGTGGAATCCTTTTTGCTTCATCCTAGAAAACCCGCTGTCAAAGGTGTGTGTACGTCCTTGTTTTCACTCACTTTATTCTCTTTACTTTTAAAGCTTTAAGTAACAAATTATTCATTGTTTGCTTTTATACTTTAGATGAAGATCTGACCTACAGGTTTTGCGTCAACTTACCATCACAGACTGGCGTTCTCATAAACTTCCAGCATCCACTTTGCAGTCGGAGACAGGTGAAAGGTAATGTCATGATTCACTCTGTCACTTTCATCATCCATAATCTCCGAGCCTTTTCAACTGAGCTTCCTAATTTAGTGTCTATTCGCATGGGCGATCTTGGCGTCTCCGAGGCACATGTACTGGGTGCAGTCTTACCTGATGGATTTCTCTCCGATCCAAACCAAGATCAGATAAAAGAGAACGGCAGTGATGATAAATACGACCCCACCGGAATTCTTACACGCTCGCACAGCCTGCCAGTTGCTCTCACCTGGCTTCTTCTCCAACTGGGTTGTCCTGTGGTCAGAATGTTGACGTCAACGTTTCCGAGTAAATCAGCAACCAGTAACGGCAACTGCAAAACCACTAAACCAACTGGTCAGCGACGACCAGCGGTCTGTTTGGCTCGAGCTCGTAATGCTTTGCATCTCAGCGATGATGCGTCAGCGGACGGCCTCCTAGCCGGAGCGGATAGGTTGTCCGAGAAATCTTTGCAGGATGCCGAGCGTCTCTTTCTCGGCGATGGATCTGAAGGTGGCTCCGGAATCCTCTATGATCCAACTGCAGGAACTACGCCTTCCTGGCCTGTCCTACAGCCATCTCAACCCTTGCCAATGATGCCTTCACAGCAGTTTCCCTCACGGCCTCTGCTTCCACCTGGTGTAATGGCAACCACTCCACCAGTCGGTGTGACGTCAGATCAACTCTCTGTTCCCACACCGAAAGGACTTGAAGATGCGTTCCCTTCTCCTGCCCTCTCCTCAAGTAAGCCTAATTACTCTCCTCAAAGCTCTGTCAATCATGCTTTTTTTCTGCATTTAACGTAGTCCATTTTTGCTTGTAGACAACCAAAGTTTTCGATCAATACCGGTGATTCCTGGGGTTATGACCACATCATCCACCTCTCTTTTTGGCCAACCAATGAAACCACCCATATCCTACTCTGCCGCCTCCACCCCCTCAAGCGTTGGTTTCAAGCCCCAAACCCCCGCCTCATGTAACTATTGTATAACCAAATTATCAGATTATATAGGATCACCAAAGAATAAACCTCTTTTTAAAATTGCTTCTCACAGGCGGTGGCTCCATGCTTGTGAGCCTGCTAGATGAGGATAATCCACCTCAAAGTCTCCCTCCACCGCCTCACGTGGGCTCTTCGGCATTGCCCCCCAACCGAATTCTTTCCTCTCCAGTTACTGCTACTACGCCTATCCCGTCTTCCCCTATCACCGCTCAGGTGCCCAACAGTAATCATTCCACACCTCTCACTCTCTTACCGGCTTATCCCAAATCGTCGGGCAGTTCTGACGTTCTCAGCCATCTCCTCACTAGCACTAGTAACATTGGCGTTAGTAGCACTAACACCACCCCCGTTGGTGTCAATAGTAGCGCCAATAGCAGTACACAATCGCTTCCTCCCGTCCTCAAATCGACAACCAATTCGGAGACAGGTGTTTCCAAAAAGGGCCGCAAGCGACGTGTTGATCCCTCCATGGGCGGATTTATCTCCACTCTTCCCACCCGTGCAGCTATCATGGATGCGATAAAACAGCCGGCAAAGCCAACCCCCTCTAAACCGACGGCGCTTGCAAAAGAGTCCGTATATGACTTTGAGGATTGTCCCCCCTCTACTAATATTGCTCTACCTCCGCCTTTCCCACCTCCCAAGCCTTTCGCCTTCTCCGATGTTTCAGCACCAGAGCGTACGGCTGAACGGAAATCGGGCCTCAAGTTTGTTATCAAAACTAATCGAAGTGGGACTGGAGGTGGTCTAACTGCTGCTGCTGGTGCTGCCACTACCCCAACGGAAAACTCTGCCGTGGTGACCAAACCTCGAACAAAGGCAGTGGAGGGCAAACCCTTTGCTCTTTTTAAACAAATGCAGCAGCAACAACAACCCTCTACATCATCACAACACCCCAAAAAGGAGCGTAAACGACGTGTATCGTCGAAGAATAAGGAGGTGCAGCCGTCTCTAGTACTGTCTATTTCATCACCAAAGGTGTTTCCTTCTGCACCAATTGTGACACCAACACCATCCCCCAAAAAGCACGGGTTCGTTAAGGGCAAACCGGGTCGAAAGAAGACTCTTTCTACCAGTTCCGAACCGAAACGGAATCGTCTCATTTCCTCGGATGAACCTTCTGTTGAATCGGGAGCAGTGGCTCCCAGCAGTGGAGTAAGTGGTGTTGGGAGCAGTGGCGGTGGCAATAGCACAAATCGTCTGATCAAGGGCTACAAGATTCCAAAGGTGCGGAAGCTGCCCTCCCCGCCGCCGAACAACTCACCGCCGGTGACGTCACAATCGACGAATCAAGAAGAAGCGGTAACAGGGAGAACCGAAGTGACGGCCACAACAACGACGATGTCAACCGCCCTACCTCCGCCTCCCCCACCAGCACAGGCGGCATCGAGCGCCATGTCGACCATCACAACAAAGTCGCAGCAGCGTTCGTTGCTCTTCATCGTGGAGAATCTGAAACGAGCAGTGGTGGAATCAAGTACTGCGCCGCAGATGCATCAGCAGCAGACGTCTTCGGCCGCTGTGGTTGAATTGGCACGCAGCAGTACTGAGGCCTCTGGAGACGCGACCAACGTTGCCGAGGACACAGTTTCTGCGGACTCAAATGATAATCTGTTTGAGAAATTCAGCAGGTAATGTGTTGTCTACTTGTGCTCAGCAATATGTTGTGGATTCGGAAACCGTTTTTTATGACAGTTAATTTGCAGGAAAACCGTAATGTGAGCAGTTGGCGTTTTGCGCATGCCTAAAATGTTAACGCAACATTCCACTATCTTGGATGTTATCTTCATCTCTTCCTGTTGTTCTTTAATTGTAGCTGCAATGATTTTTATCAAATCTATAAGTAGAATCGTGATAGCATCAAACTCGGGTTCATTACGGCGGTTTTTTTACTCCTGCACTAGTTGTCAGTTCCACTAGTTTAAGTAGAATTTAGGCTCATTTTAAGTATCGAAACGTATTGAGAAATTATATTTATATAATTTTCATTGTTTCTGTGCTGTTTGCTTGGAGTCTATTTACCTAGAATTATGCATAAGGATGAAATGTCGAGCTTATCTATCCAGGATGGTTATTATTTCCTTGATTACTAGTGCCATGCTATCCGCTTATTCGACTGAAATTTTCAAAATGAGAGTGTGCACCCTACTTTAGGATTCTGCCGGAATAAAAATATTGCAGGCCATTTTATTGACGTATTAAGATCGTTAGATCATAATCCAGCATCGTTTCCGACTGTTATTGTTCGTATCAAGCATCTATTGGATGCTAGGTAATCAACCAAAAACGCCAACGATGTAGCACTACGATTGCATATTTGCACCAAAACACCGGAGGTTGAACATACTCATGGCTCAAAACCGTAAACGTGTACGTTCATGAACCATGCTTGATTGGATGAAGATTACCCACTGTGATAAATATTATCGGTTGGCAGCGCGTCGACTCCGACAAAGGGAGGAACGCCGTCGATAGCACCACTACCAGCGAAGAGGTTTAAAGTAACTCCAACTCCGGGCGCTGGCGTGTACGACTTGAATGATGTCAACCTCAACTGCCGACCACCTGAGGAGGATGTAGTAGCTGTAGCGGGTGTTGGTGCATTGGCATCCGGGACGAGTGAAGTTGAGGGTGATCGGGAGGAGAGCGGGGACATGGGGGCCACTCTCTTTGGACAGGATGGGCAATCGGATTCGCAAACACCGCCAGCCAGTCTGGAAGAAGAGTCCGCAGCTGGTGGAGGGGTGCGTTTTCATCCTTTCATCGCTAGCACAAACGCTCAATGTGATAGCGAAACGATGCTCTACCATGTGGCATTTGACAGTGAGTATTTACTAGCCACAAGGAGAAAAAAAATGGAAAGTCAGTCTTTTGATACCCATTATTTGTCCTCTTTAAACATGGCTAAATATCCATATTAGTAAGGTTATCAATAATATATCCTTAATAGTGTGAGACTCCGATGCAAACGAGCCTTATAAATAACAGGATAATAGTGAAATTAAGGTGTGAAAGCTTCTATTTTTCATCTAACATACCTTTTATCATACTTTGAGTCGATAGCATTTTCTGGCTAGGGAATGCTGCAAGTCAGTCTATAGTTAGAGCTTCTGTGATTAACCCATGGGCTTGGCACGCTTCCATTGTCGGTAGCAGAAATCATATTTACTTAATTGCCTTAGTTAGTGTAACGTTCATCACTTGCTGTTGAGAAGCGTGACCTCATTTACGTCACCTGAGACGTAAGTTTATTGCCTGGAATGCAGTTTTTAGTGAAATAACTCCTAACCAGAATCTGCAGCCTTTGACGTAGTGCGTTTAACAACAGCAAATGGTGTGGGACATTTGACAACACCCTTTCAAACATAACTGAACTGATTTTTTTGGATCGAGAAAGTCAAGGACAATGAGAAATTTATTAGCAATGTTCTTTATATTGGAAGTGAACAGGCAGCGTACTGAATGTTGCATAATAATCCCAGCGTCCAATAAAGATGTTCTCTTTTGTGTACACATTGCTCAAATTGATGGTTGATATATCCCACTTGTAGCTGCGTTTTGTCGAGCCTTGTAACTGATGGAAGAACTCCAATACCGATGTTATTAACACTGTAGTGCGCACGGAATGTCGGCTTTCTACTGTTGCATGTAGGATATTGAGGTGCACGCCATCCAATGTGGCCAGAAAAGCTTATCTTACATGCTATTTTGTAACAAAAAATCATATTATTACATTACGGAAGAAGATAAAGGTTACTGAGTATCTTTGCTCCGCTAAAACTTGTTTTAGGTTCAAAATCAGCCTAGGCAACTGCAAGGTGACCCGAAGTTAGCTCTGCAATCGCAACGGGATCTATTGTCTCTTTGCCTATACTACTGATTATTTAGAATTCTCCTTATTAGGGGTTAAATTTACCATGATTATGTCTACACGAAGTGAAGTTAGGAGAAACAGTGGGGTATCTGGAATATAGGTAGAATGGAATGGCTTTTCTTATGCGTTCGTTCTAATCAGCTCATCAAAGCACCGACGGATACTCCAGACTCTCCAACGGAGTCGATAAGTGCCAAAGCCTTCGTTGCGTCGAGCAAGATTATTCCGGTCTCGCAGGAAGCGCCTCCGAGTGGTCATACCCCTTCCCTACCCACTGGGACAGTTTCGAACTCCGCTGCTGCTGTTGCTTCCTCTTCATCCTCCTTCTTCAACAAATCGATCTCTTCCGGCCGACCGACATCTGGCACTTTACGCGGTGGTATGGCTAGAGGAGCTGCGGGGTGAGCAATCCGCTTTACATTTTTGTTCTTAGCATCATTGGTCAAAGTGGTTTATGTACTATCCAGTTTGAAAAGTTCTTTAGGGAAATTTTTGGGGTAGGAATGGCGTAGCTTGCAGAGGCGGGGTCTGGTGCGGTTCGTGAGACCGTTCAAATGGGTTATAAAGGTGATTTTACGGAATTTTCGGCACTCATCACTGTCATGCAGCACTCCTTTTCCCCTCAAGCAAAAGGCAAGTCTCTGTTGCATTGCGTGTGATCATCTATTAGTGCAGGTAATGAATAATCTAAATTATCTAACAGATCGTTTCCATATTATTGAAGTGGTGATGAGTCAGATGGTATGGCATTAATGAAGGAAAGTAGGTGTTAATTCTCTGGAGGAATATGTTTAATTATTTCCACGACCTTTCGGACTGACTGTTGGCGTGGTTTTATGGGTCCCCGGCCCCCAATTTTTAGTGGATACAATCCAAGTTATTATCACCACCTCGCATAGAATCCAGGTTTAAATGTACAACGGCTTCTATTTTTGTAGGTGGCAGTCAAATGGGGCAGAATTAAGGATGTTTCGGAATTTTCGCCCTCTGATTGTGGTTAAAAATTGTTTTCCACCTCCTACTATTCATCTGCTGAGGAAATTAAGGAGCTGGACTGGGCTGCTTCCTCCCAATTTAATAGTTCCTTTATTTCACTACGACCACAGAAGGCATTTAATGACTAGCACCTTCCCAATGCCCTCCAAAAGTTTTGATAGTGACTGTCCTGCGATTTTCAACTTCGCTTTGAAGCACTTGCTATGCACCGTGGCCATTTAAGGCTAATAAATTGGACAAAGTTTTGTTTTCGGATTCTCCTCTCTTATCAATTAAAATGGCGTTGTTTCTGTCAGTCAGATTTTCGTTTCAAGTTATGTATTCCTAAATGATCATTGGGCCAAATCAATAGCTATTTTGAAATGCGAAAATACGTTTCATAAATCGAGACAGTAAGTTAGCAACCAGATTGCAGATCTGTAATTTGCCATAAGTGGTTGTCTGCACTCCGAACCCTGTCACTTTAGGAAACTGCAATACCATATCTGGAGTTTGTTGCTATCCATTGCGGTGGATTTTAGCATTAACATGCTCGTTTATGGGTTTACGTGTGAACTTTATATTACGTTACTTCGATGTTTGTAATTCGATTTGTTATTGCTGTTCTCTAACCCAGAGATGTGGATCATTAGCTGATGTTCATTAGGGTCCCAAGAGCTGTTACTTGCATGATACTCTATGGAAATTATTCACGTGCACTGAATTGGCAGCAGTGATTTTGCCCATTTCTCTCGGTTCTAATCGCTACTAACAGTTGCGTGTCTAGGCAAAGGTACTCAAACGGGTAGTTGCCTACTCGTATCTTTTAAGCCAAAATCGGTAAGTTTTGGGCAGCAGGTGTTTGATTAGCATATTATGTCTCCTATTTTTGATCGAACAGTTGACCTCCGGTTTATGCCTCTTGGTTTCACGTTGAATAACCATTAACCCAATTTATAGAATGCGTGCAACCAACCTACTACCACAAGAAATTGTTGCATTGCATCAGGTTAGCAGTTTTGCATTGATTGCCATCGTCTATCTTTATGCAATTGTCACATTGTATATTGTCACCTCATATTTTTGCTTTGGAATCGTTTATGCTTCGCAAAGTGACATTAAAGCATTTTTTTTCAAAGACAGGGAATAGCTGTAGAAGGAATGCTATGACAGTAAAAGAGTGGATTACTCGAATGATCGAAATCGCAACATGCGTTCCTTTTATTGTTTACGTCAGCACGGGCGTATCGTGGCTGGGCGCTGCGCCAAGAGGCACCAAAATCGTCACTTTGACATTGCAAGGAAAGCAAATAATGCAGAGTCTTTTTTTCTCTTTTACAGTCCGAGATTCAATTATCTGCGTGGTGGATGGAGCGGTAGGCCCTACGGCTCTCCGATGGTATGCTATTCTACTACTAGTGTTTTTAATGTTCACCTCTATCACCATTGCAAGCATTACACCACTTGATGGCGCTCGATCTAAGATGGTGCCTGATTTTTTTAGTAGTCAAATAATAAAACATGATAAGAAGCGCTACGATTGCAATTGACCATGACTTTATTACCCTTTACGATCTAGAGAATGCGTCGACCGGTAAGGCTCTTGACTACAATTATAGCCCGCTCTTGTTTGAATAGCTCCTGTAGACTTGCGGCCCTTGTTCACTTTGTGTTTTAATATCTGGAAGAGCTGCAATCTTGGTCTATAAGGCGTGTTTATTTATTTGCTCTTGCCTATAGATACCTCGAGGTGGGGGAGGTGGAGGTGGTGCTGGCCGAATTCCGCTTCCTCCATGGGGAGGTGGGCCCAGTGGACCGCCTCAGCCCCCACCCGGCCCAGGAGGTGGTGTTGGTGGAAGTGGTGGCTGGGGCCTCCCAAGGGGAGGAGGTCCACTTTATCGCATTGGTGGTGGAGGCAGTGGAGTTGGTGTTGGACGAGGCGGTGGTGTTAGCGCTGGCGGCAGCGGTGGGGGTGGTCCATTTTGTGGGGGTGGCAATCGACAGGCTCCTCCGAAAACCTAAACCATTCGCCGCCCATTTCTACCTGCTTGTTTGTTTGGCTCTCTTCTGCTCTCTGGGTCTGCCTGTTTCCCGTTGAAATATTCCTACACTCTCCACTGTAAATTTAGTGATCTTTCTTACTTGCCTAGAAATGTATATTTGTGTACACATTGTTATTGCAAGCTGTCTTTTCTGAAGATATGTGGGATTTTTAATTTTGAATATAATTCCTAGAGGATGCTCACTCGTGCTCTTTTCTGCTAATTTTAATGTTTGTTTCGGATCTACAATGTTCGATTTGATAAACTGGTGGCTAATATTTGTGGTCTCTCTCAATAAGAAAGTCTTGTGTTTGAGCGGATTTCCATACTCAAAACGCCTGCAAAACACTAACACTCGTACAGTTGGGAAGTTAAGTGTCAGAATAAACTCCTTTTTATGACGCTTTCCTCTAGTTGATGTGGAAGACGACTTAGATGTGTGTAAACAGAAATATGATCTATTTGTGGTTTTGAAGCACGGAGCTTTATTCCCAAGTGTGCTTTGGGTAGCACCAGATCATGTCCAAAAGCTATTTACTACTGCTCTGTGCTGTCAGCGTGAGAACATTTAATGGTGGGGTAGAGCTATCCCTTTCGTATGGAACTGCTACATAGCGTCAAGTTTTTTTTGTAAACATTGTGTTCCGCTTTCGCGCAGGTTCCATCCATTAATTTTGTACATGTTTGTTTTGTTGCTTAGTCGACGCTGCACCAGATGGCTTTCTCGTTCATGTTCTTGCATCCAGTGTGTTATTGCCTGCACAAAGAATGACTGCTGTTTAGTATCGACCTTTGATATCCTTCCAAAAAAGGAGGCCTACCTCTGATGTGTCATGTTGGAGCGATGGACGGTGTGAGCGGGTGATCATTCCTCGTCCATCTGTAAGATTGCGCCTTTGTTCCAAATTGAGCGGTGGCTACAATATGCTAGCAGCCTGAGTGTCGGTGCCCTCACGATCGGCGTTTTACTCATTGCTGAGGAATTCGAGGAGGCTTTCTAAAATTCGGTTCTGGTGAATGTGGTCAGAAGTGAGAAGGTCAAATGTGTTTCAACTATCCTTCGGTTTTCGCATTTTTTTTCGTCTAAAACGTGTCGGAAGCGCGTTGCAATGGGAGTTTATCTCTAAAGTACGGAAAGGGTAAACTGGAGTAAGTGGTCTAGTGAAGAACAAGTTTACAGCACTTCAATGCGATCTCGTGCACGTAGCGGAAGTGGATAAGCGAACTGAGGTTCTCTGGTCCCTTGGTCTCAACATTAATGGCTTATTAGAGGAAGAGTGGGACTTACGATGGTAAAAGGATCATATACGAAGGAAAAATCTGCCATTCATTGACATTTAAACTTACTTTTCCTTCAATAATGAGAGTATTAAGACCACATTTCCCAGGATCACGATTCGAATAGTTTATCCAATTGTGATGCACATTTAAAAAGGTCAGGTAAGTTTTGAGCCCCCTATGCAGACTTGATGCGTGGTTTGAATGCATGACAAGGCAAGACTCGAAATGCCATTTGATTTGGTTGTTTTTGCATGGCATTGTGAGAGAATTATTTTGGAGGAAATTGCCTACCAAGTTGGAGAGGCGGAGGGTGGAGGGAAAGAGGTTTGGCCGAGTGGTGGTGTCTGGGCGCGGCCCAGACCACACTCCAATCGCGGCAGCATGCCATCCCTCGCAGAGTGGGAGTTTAACGCTTTCCCAAAGCTTCGCTCAGACAATTTATCTAAAGAAAGTCGGGCAATTACAGCCCAGATTACTTACGTGCTTTTCCCTGCTACAGTACCAACCACGAATATTTTGGTGGTAAGCCTTTGCACTGCTCTTTCACGCCTAAACCGGATTGCGAACTGAATCTGACTCCCTCTGCATTTGCCTGGTTAGTGACATTAACCGTTTCTTTGCATACTACCATTTAGATAATGGAGTTTCTACTCACTTTTACTTTCAGAGATGAGTGTTTGCATCAAAGTCTACCTACTAAAACAGTTTTATGGATGCAATCAAAGTTTTATCTTCACAGATTTGCGTTTTGTATTCTTCAAACAAATTAGCCACATTAATGCAGCCAAAGAAATGAAGAGGTGGTAACCAAGACAAATGGCCCTTACCATTGTTGCGAACGTCTTTTTTCCCAATTCTTACCCTGTACTTGTAGCAAATCATGGGCAAGACGGTTCTGACCCCTCCAACGAGTGCATGATCAAGGGAGAGGGCAAGAAATGCAACAAAGCTGTTAGCCTTTTTTCCACTGCTTTGGTCAATTAGCTCCATTTGAAGGGAATTCGGTTAATCATTAAAACCCTCGAAGAGTTTCAATGTACCTACTTTAGACGTCAAATAGCATCTTTGAGGATTGCGTTCAAATGATACGAAAGTGAGCTTTCATTTAGCTAAATCCACTATTTTGCTAGTTAGTCTTTTTTTCCGCAAAAAAATATTATTGAGGTAAGTTCTTTGGATCTTCAAAGACAGCATCCAAGGTTTGGGACATTAGCACCGAGAGAACGCACTTTAGGACATTGCGCGACGACCTCCTTTGAAGGTGTGGAAGAGCCGACAATTGTGCTGCGCTTGCCATGCCGCACTTGCAATGAAATAAAAATAACAAATATTTGTCAAGATTTGTATTTCAGGTGCTTCAATAGGCGATCTTAAAGTACTCCTCCTGCATTGGGACCTTGGAATACTTGAATGCAGCGATGCTTCTAGAGTCACGAATTTGGAAGCAGAGTGATGAACTTTTTGAAGTGTTTTCAACCATCCAATTAACCTTATGGGCACTGGGATATTACACCTGCCCTTATCACTCTTTTGTCCAAATTGACCACATTGCTGATATTCACTAATTCCAATCCTGTTGAAGAAGTCTTAACTCCGCCTCTCGCTCCATCGCCACTAACCTGAAACTACTCTCTCCTCTAACCTTCTTACTTCCTAAGCATTAGCCTTTTTTCAAAGAGATGAAGTGAGAAAGTAAATCTTTCAACTGTCATTTTGTATCCGTTTCCCGAAAAAAAACGTAGTGACTTCTATTAATCGGTTTAACAAAAATTTGAAGGAAGTCATGGGAGAAGCCACGATTTATGATGCATTTGTCAACTCTTTAGGAGACTCGACTTTTTGTAGTCCGAAGGGGTTGCGAAAAGGCAATGAGGTGATGCATTGCAGTAGACCGTGGTAACACTGAGAGAGGCAATCAACATTGTCGAATTCTAACCTTCTCTCAGACAATTAAGTGCATTTTCTATCTTGTTGTCGTATCTTTCCATTTCGCTTTCATTTATGTTTGTTTTCTTAGGAGTTACACAAATAAGAAACGTATTATACTAACGTCTATGCCGTGGTCAGTCTACCCATCCTAGAGCAGGTCGGACATACTCTACGCTTGGCGCAGTGGCCCTCTGCCATTGAGCCAGTCCATCCTACTTGATTGCTTTGTGCTCTTCTCAACAGTCCATGCTTCTCTTCTGACAATTTCGTGACAATTGAGATGACATTTCGTCTCTGGTTGTGGTGTGTTAGTTGTGAAAGTGAATAGTTTTCCAGTTCATTACTTTTATGCCAATCTAAGACTGACGCAGTCCAATGCTATAGGGAGCAAGCAAGGTACCATTCGTGGTAAGAGGAACAAACGGCGGCGGCGAATACAAATGACACGTTTACATGCATTCGCTACCGTTCTTAAGGCGACGCAAAGGAGACCAACTTTTTGGTTGCGATTCCTTCTGCTGCCACAAGATTAAATAAAGTGGAATACCATACCAACTGCCAATTGGGGGTGACTTATCGTCAAGGTAACAATGAGAGGACTCATAGCCTTCCCAATGGCACACATTACCAACAAGGAGCATTGAAGCACCAGGGCACACATTATGCAGCGCCCTTGGGGACGGAAGAAAATTAAGTGTAGCGGCAAAAGTGGATCGACGACGTACAGAAAGGCTTGAAAGCCCCCATTAATCCTTCACCAAAGCTAGGAGTCAAGTAAAGTGGCAACTTATTACAATGTGTGGATGGTCACTTAGGAGGAACCAAAGGAAATTAATCCGCTCGGAAATGTGCTTTTTAAGGTTTTTAAAATACGCTACGCCACGGTAGGCTTAGAGACTGGCTGTCAATTTCGTTGATGTTAGCTCCAAGTGAGAACGCTCTGTCCTGAATTTTTCGCAATAAAAAAGTTAATTTGTCAAATTGGCTGAATACCTTTTAATTTTTAGCAGTAAAATTATCAGGACCAACTTTGAAAAGTATCTTGGGCTTTTGTGAGCGCGTAATCGGGATCCAGGCGTAAAATTAAAAAAAAATGGTTTTAATTTTTCCCATTTCTTAGTCCGGTAAAACGGCACTCCGCAGTAGCTAGATGTGTTGAGGGATGCGCCATCCTGAGCAATTATTTTGACTCGAATTAACGAGTAGTTGGGGCGTAGGCTGCAGGCACATTTCACCTCAAACCATGTGTGTTCGACCACACCACTTTGTGGAAGGTCTTACTCTCGTCTAGAGGCGAAATGGAACATCATGGTCTGGCGTCAAGCTTCAGCGAGTTGAAAACGAATTTGTGTTCCTGTATTCTACTGTGCGCTAGTAAATTGGACAGTTTGCGTGAAACAGGCACGCATTGTTGCCACTCCATGAATAAATTAGATTGTGAAGGTGGTAAACTCCTTCTGAAGGTATTTTTCCATGGCCTTCTGGGTTGTAAACAAAGCTGTCCAAGTAAAAGTCAGCACTGCTGATGGCATTAGGCACAGAGAAACATTCTGACAGTGCCACCATGGAATTTGTTTTCTGGGTAGAGACAGTCACAATTTTTAAAACACTTGTTTTATTGCTTAGGACATTTAGGCGATTCCACTTGTGGAAATGCATGCACTTGTCGTCATGCGCCTTCATTTGAGGAGCAGCAATACTTTTCAACTAATTCTCACTCTCAATGCGTCAACGGCGAAGAGGACGAAAAGAGTATCAAGTAAAACCAAA